AACAGGAGAAAACGCCATCGTTTGGTCTAACAGGGGGTCCGGTTTGACCGGGTAATGGGTCGGTTACAGGGGACGGGTATGAAAGATGTGATCTTGGCCGTTGATCCATTTAAGATCAACGGCCCCGCTCAACTGTGACAAAAACGGTGCCGTTCGGGCACCTCTGAGAAGACGGACCGGTTTACGCCTTGGGCCAGCTCGTTTGGTCCTGCTTTCATTTTAATATTTTTGGCCCAAACCGAGTTTTCTTTATTTTTTTTCCAACTCTTTTTCTTTTTCTACTTTTAATTTACAATCAATAAAATTCTAAAAATAATTTGTAAAACCAAAATTAGCCTACAAAAATGTTAATTAAACCTTAACAACAATTAACGCACAAGGTCAAACATTTAATTAAAAATAAAATAAAATTACACAACGGCACACATAAATGACAAAATACAACAAATACATATTTTTTTGATTTTCTTTCTTTTAAAATAAAACATGGTTTAATTAATTCCAAGATGCACAATTAAATCTTGAATGTGCATGCAACATGTATTTTTGTATTTTTTAATTAATCACAACAAGGGTAAACATTTACGGACAAAATAATTACCAAAATATCACGCAAATTCTCAAAATTGTACACAAAGAGAATTTTGTTTTATTTTTGATTTATTTTGGAGTAGTTTTCGTGAAGCAAAAATCACGTGTTCACGGTATGTTCAACAATGGTTTGATTCTTCTTGTTTCTTACAACGGGGTTGCCCAGTAAGCTTAGAAGTTCTGGCCAGAGTTGTTTACACACACGCTCGAAACGCAAACCAAGGTGGAGATTGAAGGTGTTGATTTATGTTTAGTCAACAATGGCATGCCAATTGGAAGAGTTGGTGTGGATGCTAGGAGGAAGCTTCCTCCTTTGATGTCACGAATGACATCAACAGGAAGTCTTTACCTCTATAAATAGATGCACTCCTTCATTTGTAGAAACCATCCCAAAAATAATACAACACATTGTAGTGAGTAGAGAGTTAAGAGAGAAATTCTCTTAAGTGTAATTGGGAACTCTCTCCTTCCTTTGTTAATATTAAAAAGGCAACTGTTCTCTGGTGGACGTAGGATTATTTTGATCCGAACCACGTTAAATCTTGTGTTCTTTCTTTTACGTTTCCGTTAACAGTTATAACTAAAATGTTTTATCAACAAAACAACAATAATAAAATTCAATAAATTTTCATAAGATGTACTCAGCCTTACTTCTACCTTGAGAGAGTAGAAAGATTGTTTCTGATAGACCCTCGTCTATAGAAAAGAAGAAAAGAAGTAGTGACAATAAATAATAATATTAAAAAGACTGAATTCAAGATAGCGAAGAAAATATTATATCATGTGTAAAAATAATTTCTAATCATAAGTGACTAAATTCCCACATCACCTTTAGGTAGAAATATGTTTCTTCAATAAATCAATATAATCAAACATTGAAAAATTATGATTTTTCTTAATTAAACTCTGAGCTTTATATACCTTTTTTTTAATAATAAATGTGAAATATTACCATTAACAAATCAAATTAGTATATCTCTTGAGCTCCTATAACTACAATACACTTAACTCTGTAGTTAGGTCTTCAAATACATATGAGAAAAAACAAGAAAAATTTTGCCAACTATAAACACTAACCTCTAGCTATTTTCTCTCTAATTACATAACTTGATTAGTAATTGCCTACATTGTTGTGCTTTCCTACATATATGTATATCATCTAATCTATATTTGAGCTCCTTTTTTAGTTGTGCAATTGCAAGGTCTGTGTTCACAGTTGTGTTCCTGAATATCCTTCAATTCTATGACTGCCATGTGTGGTAGATCGCTGCCCCACATATGGCTGCCACTATTTCTTTCTTCATCTGCTTCCATTTTTTGCTTCTCAACCAATGTAGGCATTGTGTAACTCTCCCGGCCATCAGTCAAATCTCTGTCTATTGACTTAGCTCATTTCTCATCTTCCTTATTCACTCACAGTCCACAAAATAGACGTTGCATTGTTTCCACTACTCCATTCCTCTATAAGCTACTTGTATTGTCTGTCAATATTATGTGCAGGTGCTGCAGTCTCTCCTTATGAGCAATTTGTTTTTGATTGGCCAACCAAACTATGAACCTATGTTTTGGCTACATTATTTTGGTCTATACTAGATCAACAACTTTACATCTAACCAGTCCAGTCAACAGTGCATTATAGCTTTGAGTTACTGATATTGTCCACTAGGTGTAAGAGGGTATTTACCACTCTGGTACCATTATGTCATGATTGCCTTAAGTGCATTAAGCTTCCTCCACTACCAGTTGCTATTCACTGGAGGGCTATGGTTCCAAATGGTATTATTTTGCTTTATGTATATGTCATGCACCCACCTCACCCAAAGTGAATCCTTTTTCTCATCTAGTTGTCAGACTAGTTTTCCCACTGGGGATGTATTCCAGTTGTTGCATCCCTTGTGTTCAACCCTCCATACTTTTTTGGTTTACACACCTCTCTCAAGCCACCAATGCTACCTTCTTGTGTTCCTCTGATGTGCCCCATAGGTAGTCCCTACATCTCTTGTCAACTGCTTTGAGCACACTTTGTGAGAGAATAAAGACTGCTCCCCAAAAGTTATAGATTGAAAACAAGACAACATTTATAATTTGTAACCTTCTTGACAAATGCCTTGAGTAAGCATTTGTGATCCTTTTTGTAATTTTGTCTAGTAACTGCTGACATTCCATCTTACTCCACTTCTTTGAAGACAAAGGCAACCTTCCACTCACCTAATTGTTCCGATTTCTCAGAATTGCACATATTTCTACTCGTACCATCTTGATTCCCATTCGATTTCACCTGTGTAGTGCTTTGCACAGTAGTGTCGTGCGCCATTAGAGTTTTCTCTGAGAGGGGAACCGAGCTCTCTTTCTCATGAGTGGCGTAGGTTTGCTAAAAATCGCCAAGAGAGAGAATCGTATCGTGCGCCTCTTATTACGTTTCTCATACAGTTTTATATACTTATACCCCCAATCTTTTTAATATATCAAAAAGCACCTCACATTTCCTCTAACTGAAACTACACCTCCCCCAAAGTGTCTATTTCATCTTTTCGTTTCCAAAGAATCATTTGCCGACTTTCCGCACATTCCAATTCTCCTGCAATAAGTCGACCGACCACTACAAAACAACCCCACTCCCCCCGCCTTATGCTCCAACAAATTCTCTGCCATGAACGACCCCAATAGACCACCAGTTACCGGTTACCCCGCCGCCGCCCCTCCAAACCCTAACGGTTACGGCGGTTACGGCAGTTCCGCTCAACCCCCACCACCCGGCACCGCCTACCCATACGCCGCACCCCCACCTTCCTCCACCACATACTACAACAACAATCCATACTACCAACAATCCATTCCTTACGCCGTCCAACGGGCCACCTTCCTCCGCCGCATAATCGCTATAGCCATAGCTGCTATGGTCATCACCGGCACCTTTGTTTTTATCGTCTGGCTCATCCTCCGCCCCCGTCTACCGGAGTTCCGAGTCGACTCGCTCTCAGTCTCAAACCTTAATCTCTCCAATTCATTAATTTCCGCTAATTGGGACCTCCGTTTTACTGTCCGAAACCCCAACAAAAAGTTGACACTTTACTACGATGATGTAGCAGCAGCGGTTTTTTATGATTCGGCTTCGCTTTCCGACACTACAGTCCCGCCGTTTTTTCAGGATAAACGGGCTGAGACTGCCCAGAAAGCGAGTTTTGCTACTTCAGGTTCGTATGTAGAGAATCGAGCCTTTGATGGGATGAATAAAGAGAGGGCTCGAAGTAGTGCAATTGGGTTTGATGTGAGGATGGTGGCTAGGGTCAGGTTTAAGGCGGGGTCTTGGAGAGCGAGGAGGAGGTTTATAAGGGTTTACTGTAAGGATTTGTCTGTTGGGGTTGGGCCCAATAAGTCGTCCGGGAACTTGCTTGGTGGGCCCCGACAGTGCCGGGTTGGACTCTGACAGTTGGTGATCTTCGCTTGTTTTAAGGTGAAAATTCTAAGTATTGTAGTTTATAGGAGCATTAGCTTATTTTGTTTATGATACTTAGTTGTTTTTTATGGATGGTTTCTTTTGTTATTGGCAAATGCAACGTGGTTATTTGTGATTAAGGGTAGTGTGATTTATTAGACAAAGATATGAGGGTTTCATTGGTTTACATTGTGTGCAGTTTTCTTCAGTTTTTTGTTGTTTTTTGTGAGGGCCCGAGAATCAAGTTTTGAAAAGTTGCAATTTTTCTCTTATATCAAGGAGATTTAACAAATTATCTGTACCCAAAAAGTTCGTTCTTTCCCTATTTGGGCAACATTATATTTCAACGAAGGGGATATTTTTCAACCTAGCTCCGGCACTGGTCCATTGCATATGCAGCTAATAGCTTTAGTAAGTTGTTGTGTTTTCTATTCTTATTGCATCTATTCATAGCATAGCGAAAGAAGTGGACATGGATGTAAGATTGATACGTTCTCTTCAAAAATTAGTATGATTTATGAGTAGTTGTACATCTCTTAAAAAATTAGTATGATTTATGAGTAGCTGTACATCACCGGTCTTGAGGTAATGATGTAGACAGGCTCTTTAATGTGATTATGGATTTTGTTTCTGGATCATTCCATTGCTGGACAAATTTGGCTATTGACATCTGCAGCCTATATAACTTAAATCTTTTGTCCTGGTACTTTGACACGATCCTTCAGGTACTAAATCATTAAAAAGTCATGTGCTTTTCCTTTGCTTCATCGGATAAAAGCGCATCTCAGTGCTTGCCAAGTCCTACAGAAGTTCTTGTGGGATATAAATTACTGGAAAGTGATATGTTATAGTTCCAGGAGAGTAGCAGTTGCTTCGTTCATATGCAGTTTCCTCTGTATGTTACTTTCATCTCCACTAGCTGGAAGAAGTTCTCTTGAACAGCGACAATTGTGTGAATATGAAGCACTAATGTAGCTTTAAAACATGTGCTGCTTTTGGCAGATAAGTAGACCGGCTAGTTATGTGTTATAGACCTTATAGTTTTGGGTGAAATAGTGGATGGTACTTTTAAGGTCCTTCCAGACTACGGACATTCTGATCTAGGTTAGGTAACACACTATCTGAGGAGATGTGCCTGCGTCTCTTCAAATTTGGGATTTCTGTTTTTATTGGTTGATAAGTAAATTTGGGACCTCTTTTTGGGATGAGCAAAGACTCTCACTAGCTCTAAAGTTTAGATTCTTGGTTCTAATGAAACCTAACCCTAGCTGTTACTAATGACTTTGGCTTACTTTTAGAAGCTACATGGTCTCCACCTTTGATAACCTAAGGAGATGCTTGTATTTGAGAAGAAGAGGCAAGAGGGTATAGGGCCAGACTTTGGTAACTGGAGATGTTAAGTGGAGATTATACAAGAGTTAAGATGAGTCAGTTTCAGTGGTTTAAGAATTTTGAGATGTGCATTTGCTAGCGGCATCTATGTATGCTTGATTTTAATGGTAAGTGTCTTTATAAAAGATCAATTGAGCTGTGGGGCATATTTCATGGTTGCAGATCTATCACTGCATGTATGACTATATACCCCTCCCATCTATCTGGGGAAGTGGAGATGTACTTGTCAGGTATTTCACTCTAGTATATTCTCTCCTTACCCTATAATGATAGAAGCATCTCAAAGAAGTTTTTTTAAAAAAGATATAGGAATATATTTTATAATGAGTGTTGCCCGTGTACGGATGAGGGGATAGGAGCGATATCATAAGATGGGACTGCTGGTTGGGTCAACCGTCCATGTTTAGGCATGTTGTAAGTCGTGATCTAAGTTGCTCTGACACGGTTACGGATGTCCGACACGGGTGCGGATCTAGAGGTCGGATCCTTTAAAATGAAAATTTTAAGATTCGGGGATACGGATCCTAGAACCGACACGGGTGCGAGGATACGGCTAAAAGTTTGCACACTTGTATTAATATTTGTCGTGCCAAGACAAAAAAGTTTGCACACTTGTAGTAAATTTGCTATAGTAACATGGTCATAAAGGTAAAGTATGTCAAAAAGCATATCACTTTTTAAAAATAGCTACAGTAACTCTTTTTTGTGGCCCATATTGCAAGTGGATGCAATATTTAATGAGAGACAGCTATAACTCTTCATAAACGGCAAAATATTAGTTGTCAATTAAAAAGTGGTCAATTCCTAATTTGTCTCATTCTTCATCCGTTCTCTGTACTCGCCTCTTCTTCTTTCCATCTCTGAGTCTTCTTCCCCAACAAAAGTTTTTCCATCTCTTTGTTTTTTTAGTACAAAACCCATTATGCCTCAGTCCAGTAGTCCACCACCCATCTTTTGCTTCTCTGCCAAAAAAAAAAACATGAGCTCTTGATTTCAAAAACCTGCAGCATGAACAAGAAGATTGACCAAGACAAAAAGCTTCAAAGGAGACAAAAGGACTAATATAAGAAGGAGAATATCAGCGAAATTGAAGGTATTTCGTTTTCCATCTTTTCAAATCTTTACTTAGTGAAATCAATTGGGAAAAATTTTGGTCAACGCACCCGATCTTGTCTGACCATATCCGACACAGATCCCACACCCTTACCCGTGTCAGTGTCATGTCGACACGGGTACGGCCAAATTGCCGTGTCCGAGCAACTTAGGTCGTGATTACTGGCTTAGTTGATGCCATATTTGCTTCGATCCGTATAAGCTTTGGAAAATATCGTGGTTTAATAAAATAGATACACTTCATCCACTGTATTATTTGAATTTGGTTGGCATCGACGTGATTTTCTTTCTCTGATCCTTTATTTGCTCTCCTCATATTTAAGAAAGTGAACAAGGAGATCTTCTGCGCAATATGCGCTCATCAAATCAATGATCAGGATTCTGTATATCATTTTCTAGCTGATAGTTTGGATATGTACGGTCATCATTCATCTTATAGTTCATGGAGTGTTCAGATCTTCTGGTAACGGGAAACAATATCCAGCTTTGAGATCTTTAGGTTTTAGTTTCAGAGAGTGTAACTTCTGTTCAGTACTTACTGCGTCTTAGCTATCTTGTTATCCCTGAAAAGATACTATAGTATTTTTGTCTGCCTCTTTTGCGGATGAGCAAGCGGCATTGCTCATTTGAATCATTTAAAAAATTTCATAGAGTTTATGATAGACTCTTCTTTATGCACCCAGTTTCATGTTGTACTCCTAATGATCATTTAATATCCATTCACCACAGTTTGAAATTATATTATCTTAGATAAATCTTATACTTGATCATAACTACACTGAATTAGAAAAGCGATAACTTTAATGCTGCAATTTTGATAATGAAAAATTAAGGAACAATTGGGATCCTCAAGGAATCAATATATGCCCTATAATGAGCAGAGCGAACTAAGACATAATAAGATAGTTTGTTGGACTTATCCTAGAAATATGGGTAGACTTTTAGAAATTTCAGTTTAGAAGATAAAAGATCAAAACATTGAGTCCTTGTAATATCCAGAACAGAATTTGAAAATTAGATCTTAGGCACTGGGTTGGTGTTTACATCCTCACGTCAATGTTCCTGGATTTTACTAAGGAAGCAAGAAGGGTACTTCATATGTTATGCTATTATGCTTCAGACCTTTTCTATATCAAGATCAGTTAATTGAACTGTTGGCAGTAGTAGCAGGTCTTTGGGCATACCTGGTGTTTGTAGCTTGACATCTGAAATGAAATTGTAATAGTTTCTTATATTCATAAGGAGATCATTTTATCTTTTTGGGTTTTTTCAACCGTGGCGTGTAGAAGGAAAAAATTTCATATGAGACTAGCAGCCATACTTTCATTCTGGTGTAACTGCTTCCAAAAAAGATGCAGCAATGTTTTTGAACTTCATGAAATTTTAAGATGTGTTCCTGATGATGATGTTGGATCACATCGAAGGAATCTATTAAATAGAAATTAAAGTTGACATGCAAAATAGAAATTAAAGTTTACATGCATAACCATGTTGCGCTGATTTGGGGTTGGATATCTCCGCAGCTTCAGGTGAGTTAACTTGTGGCTTGGAACTTTATAAGGATTTATTATTTGCTTTGTCGATCGAGTTCATTATTGATCTCCAAGAGATCTACATATTACATTTTATACTTTCCATAACTTTATCATGGCAGATCAATCTTATCTGCCCTTTGTTCTTTGAGCCCTTAGTTTACTAGTGAAACTTTTGAAAGTTTATGCTTAAAGAACCAGAAAGATGCCATGGCTTCTTCTTAATGTTGTATAATCATGATTGGGTGCTGTATTTCATGGTTCAGGTTTTGTTATGCAATTAAGCGTATTGCTATGTTATTGAAAAAGCATAAGATGGTAGGAAGAATATGCTCGCGAAGCAACACCATTGGGGCTTTTTATTATACTAGTAGTTGAAATATGATGTTTGTCGTGTCCCTTGTGAAGCTAACTACTTCTATCATTTTCAGCTATCTATCATTTTACCAGTCTTTTCTACCAATATGATTTCAGAGGCTTCTGTTGCTGTTGGTTCTTCGTCAGGGATAATCTTTTTAGATTCTTTGATTAGAACTTGTAGTAATAGTTATCAAATGCTTCCAAAACATATGATGTACTGCATAATTTCCTTCACATGTCCTTTTTATATGTCAAAAGCTTGAAGGCTGATTTATTTTTATCTAACATAACTGTATTGTTTAGACTTGTTAACTGATAAATCAATAGTGAGGAAATTTGATCAGCGGCCTGCACTCTCTGATTTTGTGAAGAAACCGCAAAATGTTTAATGCAGGGTTGTGGTGTCAAATGATTAGATGATTTGTTGCTATCCTCTTGAGTCTGAGCTACTATGACGGTGGGAGGTGGCAAGTACTCAAGTAGTTAGTTGAGGAATAGTTAGAAAGTGCGCGCAAAAGATTGGATACCACTCTTATTGTTTTAAAAGAAAATTAAAAGAGTGGAAAAAGAACATGTCTCCAAAAGCTACAATGCTTACATAGCCGAAGTCATGACATTGTTGCGCGTTATAAAACATAGTCACGCGTGGAGAAACTCGACGTTGGAGTTAGTCAGTAATGAAAACACACCTGTTTCAAAACTTGACTGTAATAAATATTTGGGTACTTTTCTTTTTTCTTTTATCTACATACACACAACAATGAAAAAATGGTGGTACTTTGTTGTAGTCAGTCATTCATCAAATACTAACAAGGATCATGGATGTTTTAGTAAAAACTGAGAACATATTCCTTTCAAAAAGATTGAACCTATTCCGTTTTTAGTTAGTTTCAAATAGAATGAACTTTTTTTAAATTTAAAAATAATTTAATTTTAAAATTCCTTTTTCATTCTTAATGAGATAATTTATAGTCACATAACTATTTATGAATTATTTTAAACCACAAATTTTAAACGTCCTATTTTTTCTCTCTTAATATTCGCCAAATAAGTTGAAACAACTTAGATACGGGGGAGTAACATTTATCTATATATATATATATATATATATATATAAAGTTGGGAATGAAGAAAGTGATGTGGCATGTCTCTTTATCCATGAATCACATTTATCTTTTTTCTCATTTTTTTGCCATTCTTTCACCTCTTTTTCTTTTTTCTCTATTTTTAAAATAGTTGGTGTTCATATATTAGAACTCCGAACATTGCATCTTTAGCCGAAATCTACCTCTTTAATTCCTAATAACTACACCTTAAATGCCTCTTCTAACAGACTTTACAAAGAGTCCAAACGTTTCCTCTTTATCCAAACGTTTTCTCTTTTATTCCTAAATAACTACACATGAAATGTCTTATAGGCTTTGCAAAGACATTCATGTTTGAAGTTCACTTTCCAGTATTATTTGCCCATTTTTCTATATCTTAATTATTTGTCTTCTACATCTCAACAATTACCTCTTTTACTTTCTCACGTGAAAGTAATCAAATAAGTTCTAGAGCGTGGCCGCCACATATATGCAATTTCTCAACAATAACAAAGTCCGTCATTTTCGACCGAACAAGATGTCTGCACTGCTTAAAATTCATGGTGTTTGAATTTCTCAGTTTGAAATAATAAAAGGTCATTAGGTCCAAATATCATTCACTGGTGAAATAAATCTTCTTGATATGCTACGGTATATTTATTTTTTGAAGTCAATATTCGTAATTCTTTGTTTTTTTCCCCACATATTTTACGCTTTTTACCATGTATACTTTAGTAATGCACAAAAGCAACCTACAAAAGATGCGGTTGAAGAAAATATAGTAACACAATCAATGAGTTCAACTTTTAGCATTGCTTATGCTAATGAAACAAAAATATGTTAGAATACATAGCATGCATCTCCCCTGAGTATTCCTTCCAATTTGAAGTTCCTTTTCCAGAGAGCTTATGCAACTAACTTCTGTTGAAGATCTAACTTAACCGTTGGCTTTATTTTCACAATCTTTTTACGGTACTAAATAAATTAATCACCGTAAGAAGAGAAAGAGTAATTCTTCTTGAAATCCTCTGCCAGTTCTTTCAGCTTTATAATATATTGCTATACATCTTTTATCTTCAATTTTTTATTCCAATTCTATGATTCCTTCTGTCCTATTGGATCAACTTCTTGTAGTACAAGAAAAATTTTTATTTCTCAAGTAGGCATAATATTTTGAGATAAAATTTCCATTTAATTATTTGCACCGTATGAGTAAACTACTATTTTAAAGTTAGTTTCATGAAATTCCTTACGTACAAGTTTCATGAAATTCCTTACGTACACTCCTTTCGTAGTTTTTATTCAAATTCTCCTACGATATTTCATTGATCAAAAGTTAAATTATTTTTAATATTTCTAGCTTTTGAATTTCTTCATATTAAAGAATAATTTTTATTCCCTATTGATTTTTAAAATGTTTACCTTATTTTCATGTTAACGATTGATACTATATTTCATCTTAAATATTCCCAAATGTTTTTTTGCTCCTCAAAGATTTTATTTTTTTGCCATTTACTTATCTTATAAATTTCTATGGTTTTTGATAAATAGTACTACTACTGAGCTTTTGAATTTCTCCATGTTAATGAACAGTTTTTATATATTCCCTATTGATGATTGATATAATCAACATAAACATAAGGTAAACATATTAAATATTCTCATATTTTTGTTGTCCCTCAAAATTTTATTTTATTTCCATTCACTTATTTTATCTTTATTCCTATTTATTTGTTTGTAACTGAGCAAATAACTAAATTGGAGCTGCCACATTAAAATCATAAGTTTAAATTATTTGGTTAGATTTTTTGAAGTTCTTATGGAAAAGATAGTCAGTATCTTGAGATATATTGGTAGAAAATACAATTCAGTTTATTATTTATTTTCCTTTCTGTTGTTTCTTCACTTTTCTATTCATATTTTTATTTGAATATAAGAAAATTTTAGCAAAACAAAATATGTGACTATGTGATAAATGAAATCAAGTAACTCTATATATGTATCAATGTATAAAAGATTTATATAGAGATTCAAAAGTAAAAAATTCTTTAAACGTTTTATTTCTTATTTAACGATGAAAATTAAATTCATTCTAAGCTCTACCTTTAATAAAAAAATTACTCTTCAATTTTATTGATATATATTCAATTTTGACAAAATTTATAAAAACGATTATGGTAAGTATCATTTATAACCGCGCGTAGCACGGGCAATTTGACTAGTTTATCTCTCTCTCTATATATATATATATATGGGCATTAAAAAAGTGGTGCGGCACTCTCTAAAGCCAAGAATTGTATTTACCTTTATTGTCCTTTTTTTTGTTGCTTTTCCTTTCATTTTTCTCAATTATCTTATTATTTAAACAATTTTAGCTCCATAAATCACACCCCTTGCTCTTCATAACTTCTATTCTTAATTAATATCACAACCTCTTCATCTTCGTAACTCCTATTCTTAATTATTAATACCCATAACGCCTACTCTTAATCTATCTATATATATATATATATATATATATATATTAAAGCAAGAAAGTTACCATATATAATTGACATTATGGTTAATTCAAGTGGCAAGCTAATAAATGTCAATAGTATATGGTAACTTTATTCTATATTTGACTATTTTAGTTAAATAATTTGAATTTTAAAACTTTATCTATAAATTCAAAATTGTCTTTTAATTCAAATATATAAATATATATATGAATTAAAAGACAATTTTGAATTTATAGATAAAGTTCTAAAATTCGAATTTAAATTAAAAATAAAATTTATCTTTTTTATCATGTTATCATACTTAATTTGGTTAACGATCATATGTAATCATGTGAGGACCTTTTGCTATTTTTTCTAATTATTTAAATACTACTTCGCCTCTAGCAAAAAAAAAATCATATAACTATAAAACTCTTTCACATTTAAAATCATATAAGTATAGTTCTTTGAAATACTGTAACTAGATTTGAATAAAATGAAATTCTTTTAAAATAAATGTAATATATAGGGTACATGTCTATGTTTATTTAAATAACAAAAAAGAGTTTACAAAACCAAATAAAAGTTTACTTACATATATAATAAAGTAAACATACATGCTGGAGAAAGAAACATCACAAAATCCGTCAATATTAAAAAAAAAATTATTTCTTTTTTCTTCTTGAAGAATACTTGTTTGAAGAGTCAATTTGCATAAACGGACATTAAACAAATAACAAAATTTTGGCTATACAATTGCTATCATTAATTTCAATTTAGCACATTCAAGAAATTGAAGGGTATAAGCTGAAACCCCTTCATTTAGCTGTAGTCAAGTCAATATTGCAAGGGTATAATATTTTTTTTGTTGAAGAATATTAGTTTTGAATCATTAGATTATGTGAAAGGTTTTTTTTCAAACTCAACAAGAGATAAATTAATTTCTAATTGATAGTTTCTATAGCGGCTTTTAAGTGTAACAAAGATTATATATAAAGAAAAAATTGGTATGACGTGAAATATTTTTTTAAAATGTAAACAAACTATTTCGAAAAAACTCTTTACTTTTTTTAATTCAAAGATAATAAAAAGATAAGATATTTTTGAATATTAGTAGAGAGTTTGAAACTATTATAATAGAAGTTATATCATGGATAACTCAAAAAATCGAAATCTTATGGAATATTTACATAATATCCGGCCATATTTATTGTTTACT